TGTGAATCAGTATGAATCGGTGTGAATCAGAATGAATCGGTGTAAATCAAAATGAATCGGTGTCATTTAGTATGAAGCGGTGTGAATCAGTATGCATCGGTGTGAATCAGTATGAATCAGTGTGAATCGGTGTGAATCAATGTGTCAATATGTATCAGTGTAAATTAGTTTAAATCAGGATAAATCAGTGTGAAACATTTTGAATTAGTTTGAATTATTATGAATCAGTATGAATCAGTGTGAACCAGTATCAGTCAGTGTGAATCAGTGTGAATCAGTGTTCTGATGCTGACGGTGTGTTTTTCTCCCTCAGATGGATCAGGAGTACCGAGTCAGTAAATTCCTTTCTCTGCTCCGGGACGAGGGAGCGTGAGTATTCAACATTTTCAAACTTTTCAGTTATTCAGCACTTTTATTGTGTTTGTACACTTTTCACCCAGTACTTCTTAATGTGGCACAGGATCAAAAACCCTCAAAATATTACTTATACATTCAATATGTTTTAATTTTGTAACCATCAGGATGGATGAGAACAATCACATCAGAGTTTAAGGTCTCCTGTGGGGGTAAGAGAACGAACTGTACAGTGACTGTTAGAATCGAGTCAGATTCCTTTATTCCTTTAAAGCCCCAGAAAACCCTGCTAATATGTAGAATTCCCTGATTCCCTCTGTTCCCTGACCGGCTGCTTCAGAAGAGCTTCAGAAATGACCTCATCTGTGATGTAGATTCATCTGCTTATTTAAATAGGCTAATTATCTATATCCCCGGCCCAAAAGGCCACACAATGCAATGAATACAGTAATAAAGGCTGATGATCGATGTTTAATAGCAGCTAAAACAGACAGTCTGTGTGAGTAAACACTGCAGGTCTCAGCGCAACACTGCTGTCCGCTGATCTGCTGAGGTAAACGGAGAACCGCCAGAGAACCGTGTTCTGTTCCTCACTCAGCCCGTCTGTAAAGCTGACTCAATCCAGCTCAGAGAGTCAGACGGTTAATTACTCTCCACAGAAGAGCTGGTCAGTAACCTGCGTCCTCAGTTAAGGCTAGAGTTAGTCAGGCAAGCTGTCAGCAGTCTGTATCTGTAGTGGCCTGTAGTCTGTGGTGGTCTGCAGTGGTCCAAAGCAGTCTGCAGTGATCTGTAGCAGTCTGTAGTCTGTAGTGGTCTGTAGTCTGTAGTGGTTTGTAGTTTGCAGCAGTCTGTAGTGGTCTGTAGTCTGTAGTGGTTTGCAGCAGTCTGTAGTGGTCTGTAGTGGTTTGCAGCAGTCTGTAGTGGTCTGTTTACCTGAGAACCAGAGAAACAATGCCACACCCATCTTCTTAGTTTTGTCATTGATTTTCCAGTTTAGTTTTGATGGCTGAAAAGTTTGTGTTAAAACATCAATAATAACACTTTGAACAGCTTAAAACGAAGAAGAAGGAAACAGTGACTGTTTATTATTAGTAGCGATTAAAGGGACGTTTTTAGGGTTTTAGGGTTTCTGTTGCATCAACATCAGTAAACGTCAGAAGTACACACACACACACACACACACACACACGTTGGGAAGTTTGAGGATGTCCTCCAGGAGCTGATCACTTTTAGTCAGACAGGGATGTTTTTCTGGCTGGCAGTGATTGTGATTGTGAAGGTGATGGTGTTCAGGTTCAAAACCATTTGCCAACTGTGCTTGCACATCTCGTTTAACCCATCCGTGCAGTGAAACACTCACATACATACACACTAGTGAACACACACACTAGGGGGCAGTCTGAGCACACTTGCTCGGAGCAGTGGGCAGCCCTATCCACAGTGCCCGGGGAGCAGCTGGGGGTTAGGTGCTCAAGGGCACTTCAGTCACGTACTGTCGGCTCTGGGGTTTGAACCGGCGACCTTCCGGTCACAAGGCTGGTTCCCTAACCTCCAGCCCCCATGGATTGTCATGGTGGTGATGGTGATTGTGGTGGTGATGGTGCTGATGATGATTGTGATGGTGGTGCTGATGTTGATGATGGTGGTGATGGTGATAGTGCTGATGTTGATGATGATTGTGATGGTGGTGATTGTGGTGGTGATGGTGATGACGGTGGTGATTGTGATGGTGCTGATGATAATTGTGGTAATGGTGATGTTCAGAGGAGGTGCATTGGAGTGTCAATGTGATTAGGCTGCTGATTAATGTAGTCTAGTTGGTCTGATAGTTTAGAGCAGTGGTTCCTCGTCCTGGTGCTGAAGTTAGCGTTAGCATTTCCCCCAGTCGCTAATCCAGCTAATCAGCTCATTAACAGGCCCTTCATGATTTGATGTGGGTGCTGCAGAGAAACAGTGTGCAGGGCTGGGTTCTCCAGGAACACAACTGGGAACCTGGGCTTTAGGGCAAACACAGATGTAGCTAGCAAGTTAGCAGGTGAGCAGGTTACCTAGTTCAGCCAGTTACCTTTAGCTACCCTCCTAAAAATGGGTCTTCAAGGGTTCTTTAGCCAAGAACATGATTCTCCCGCTGAAAGAAAACCCATAGAACCCCATTAAGTGTGTCTGTTGATTCCTGATGGTTTTGTAATGTGTTTTGGCTTTTTGATTGGATGGTATCACAGTGTAAAGGATCCTAATGGTTTAACAGATTCTAAAGGCATCTGATGGTTTTTTAATGGGATCTAAAGGTGTTCTACAGGAAACTGGTGGTCTCTATTGGAAACCATTAAGCAAATTCCCATTAGAAAGCAAAACCACTAGGTTTTAATTCTGAGGGTCCTTTTTCAGCAGGGTGTGTATAAAAACTCTCAAAGAACCCTCTGCATGATTAAAGGTTTTTATTGCAAAGTGAAATGGTTCTTCAGATTGATGGAGCATGTGCTGTAGATGGTTCTATAGAGAATCCTTTTGAAATTGTTCTATATAGCATCAAAAAGGGTTCCACTATTGTTACAAGACAAAGAACCCTTTTTGCTAAGAGCGTAGTTCAGCTTGTTAGCAGCTAAGAGCCGTTTGCTAGCGAGACACACTTTTATTTTGAAACAGATTTGGCGGCTGCTGTAAATTCCTGAGCTGATTTTTCTGCCTGGTCTGTTTGTGCACACTGTTCACTCTCCATCTCTCTCTCTCTCTCTCTCTCTGTTTAGAGACCGAGGGTTTTACCAGTAACAGCCTGGACAGACGGGGGCGTCGTTTCCCTCACATCACATTTTTCTGCACGTCAGTGAAACGTTCCTTCAACTTCCAGCTGCCGCCGTTCCGTCACTAAGAGAACCGTCACCGCCGAGTGTGATTACGCCGTCTAATCACATCTCCCTGCAATACTCATCACTCTGAATCGTGTTCTGTGCTCCGTGTGCTGTTCCTGTTTGCTGATGTCAGTTCATTTGAAAATAATGATGAAATAAAATAGCTAAGAGCCATAAAGATGTACAAAATCATCCAGAGAGAAAAAGTGTATCATAAATGTAGTTTGAGTGTGAATATATATCATATAAAAACACAGAATATTTATCACGCTAGCAGTATTGAAATATCTAGCTCAGAGGCGCGAGTTGTGTTGGTGTGAAGTTCAGGTGAGCTGTGCTGTGTCGTGTGTTCAGTTCTTTATCTGTGACTCAGCTGGTAGTTTAACGTTATGTTTGTGTGAGTAACTGAATTCTGTGCTCGGGTCGTCCAGCAGAATAACGGACGTGTTCTAACACATATCGGTTCTGCTTTTAGTTGACTGTTGGTTCAGCTTATGAAGTGCAGGTCGGTACCGTTTAGAACTCCTGTGTCCATTAAGTGTGTGTGTGCGTGTGTGTGTGTGTGTGTGTGTGTGTGTACTGAAGAGTCCAGCACTTTGCTGAGTGAATAAGCTGTACTGAAGAACAACCTTTACTATAACAGTGACACTGTCCTTTAGTCCTTTAATCCTTTATTCATATTTGATCTTAACTCACTGTTAGCGGGTGGGCTGCTGTGGGGGGTGGGGGGGTTTCACGTTCTGAGTGAACAAAGTTGTGCTGATCAGTTTGGTGGGTGTATAGATATTCATTATTGAAAAAAAAATGTCTGTTTTGTTAATTTATTATTTTTGCCTGCCTGTTGCTCCGCCCACCTGTATGACTAGTGCTTGATGTTTAGAGCTGTTTATCATTAATAAATATTGAAGCTATTATTGCAGACAGAAGCTGTATTATTGCAATAAAGTCTGTCACATGGATGGAAACCAAGAATTTAACTGGTTATTCTAACAGTGAACAGTCTGGATTACTTACATAAACATGCGAGCAGGATGACAATTATTATTAAAGGATTCAGCAGAACTCAATGTCAGCAACTATAAAGGAAAAAATCGTGGATTAAAATGCTGTCAGTAAGAATTCTTTCCTGAAAATCTGGGACTAAAGCAGGATGTGGTGTTTTACAGTCACTGCAGCCACATTATTCATTAGTTTCCTGTGTTGCTAATGGTGGAACTGAGGTCAGTACACGTCTGTCCACTAAATATATGTACAGAAAAGACCAGCTGTCCTGGTTCTAGGGTTCTAGGGAACCAGGATGCAACAGCGAGAGGCAGTAGGTGGTCCTACTGTTACAGCAGCTGCTGGATCTGTATCAAAATAAAAGCACGTCTTGCTAGCAATAAAAAACATTGAAATGAGGTTCCTCTACGACTCGATGTTCCAACTGCTTTTTTCTGTTTTTTTGATACAAGGTTTTGTTCTGACAGCAGTGATATTCTCTGAAAAATGAAACATCAAAGATAATAAACTTTCTGAATCTGAGTAACAGATTTAGAGCTGCTGCAACACTTAACTCTGTCAGTCACAACATACGAGATTAGAGAAAAGAAACACCCAGAACTTAAATAACCAACAGACAGAAAGAGACTAAAACTTTCTTAAAATATTAACAGAGAGCAAAACAGTCAACATCAAACACAGCAACCTAAAATAAAAATGAAGAGCTCATCTGGGCCAGATACACACACACACACCTACATACACACTCACACACACACACCTATATACATACACACACACACACAGTCGGTTCTTAAACAGTGAAAATTTAATCACAGATTCTTCAACTTTTCAAACACAAAGAAAATCATCAGGAGAAAAAGAAGGAAAAAAACGAAACCCAATAAAATAAGATAAAAGCAGACGAGCAGAGAAGATCAAAGACTCACTGACAGGTTTGTAAATTATATGTAAATTAGGTCTAATTATGCAGCACCATATAAAGCAGCAGGTTTAGCTGTTTCAGAGCTGAAGTTAAACAGTGGACAGAAACTCACTGATGTTCATCTCAGCGACTCCGTCAGATCAGAGAAGCTCTCAGTTCAGCTCCGACTCTGAGTGTCTGACAGGACAGTTAATAACAAATTAAGCCAAACTAAAAGTCTCAGAGAATAATCACACAAACACATCTCAGCTCTTAAACAGGAATGTCTGAGAACATTAATATAAACGTTAATATAATGATATTAATATGGAACGTGACTCACTTTGGTTTTATGATCTAGTTATTAACTCATTCCTTTCTTGTTCTGATTAATCAACTGAATTTTACCAATAACGTCTGTAAAATTTGTTTTAGAATAGTTTCTATGTAGTTATAGAAATCTTATCCTTCTCAGTTGAATATATCATTAATGATCAGAGAAAACTGGTGAATGTTTAATTTTTATTATTAGTTTTTATGACAGTCATTGTTGTGGTCAGTTCAGTTTACAGGATTTCCTGTAAAACGCAGTACTGATTTACAGTCACAGCTCTGTGGACTAAGATATCGGAACAGTTTATTAATTTAGATTCATTTTAGTGATTGACTCAGTAACACACTGACAGTGATCGACTGTAACCGTGTTCTCCTCCACCAGAACCTCAACTTACAGTGTGTGTGTGAAGAAACCCAGTGAAGAAAGCTGTATAGATATATATTTTTCTGTTTTGGCTAAATCAATAACGGTGCAGACTGCAGAACACAGCACCGATCTGGGTTCTTGGAGGAACTCAGACGACTCGAGGTTTCGATCCATAACGCAGTTTCAATTTTAATTTGCTGAAAACAGAAGAAACACAGCCTCTCCAGCGCTAACAGCTAAACACAGCCCTCTGCTCTGCTCTGGAAACCCACCACTGCCCCCGCATTCAGGCTCTTCAACATACAAGTCTTAACACAGCCCAACATAAACATTTCTGAAAACTGAACTCTTACAGCGCAGCGCAGCGACGCCACAGTACATTCTGTCAGCACCATCTTCTACTATATGCTTTTTAATCGCACAGTTAAAATGATAGAAAGATAAACCATCTCAGCTCGAGCGCCTGACATCATCACTCAGTCTAGACAGCATGTATTCCCAGCGCGGCTGTAAACAGTGCCCCGCTGTACTGGACCCTCACCTAAGGCCGCGATGTTGCCCTTTGTACCTCGAGTTAGACCCCCTCCATGAAGCGCTGGTTAACTCGTGTGTGCACTGTGCTGTTACCTCCATAGCCCACCGCTAAGAGGCCAGCAGGCAGGTAGACGGAGCGAAAGCCGCAGCGCTGCGAGGAAAGCAGCCAGCCTGGAGATTCGGATTTCACAGCGGATGTGATTTCAACACAGGGGCGACGGACGCAGATTTTCTGAGCAGCTGCCGAAACTCCGGAGCCAAGAAAGGGTGCTTAGACAGCCCTCCTGCTTTCCTGATCAGATAATCCGGACAGTCAGATTAGGATAAGATCACACTCTGGTAGTTGTGCGGGTCCATCTGCTCGTTGAAGACATCTCAGCAGGTTCTCTCTCACAGTGGCACCTGAGGTTCTCCGCAATCTGTGAAGAACAAAAGATCATGTTTTTAGCTCCACGGAGTCAAACTGACAGATTAAAAATGACAGACATCCACAGTTCAATGCTTTTAGTCGACATGTAGAGGAACAGAACATCCACCTCAGATCAAAGGAGGAAATACAGGAGTGATGGAGTGATAGAGGAATGATAGTGGAGTGATGGAGTGATACAGGAATGATAGAGGAATGATAGTGGAGTGATAGAGTGATGGAATGATAGAGGAATGATAGCGGAGTGATGAAGTGATAGAGGAATGATAGTGGAGAAATGGAGTGATAGCTGAGTGATGGAGTGACAGTGGAGTAATGAAGTGACAGAAGAATGATAGTGGAGTGATGAAGTAACAGAGAAGTGATAGCTGAGTAATGGTGTAACAGAGGAGTGGTAATGGAATGATGGGAGTGATAGAGGAGTGATGGAGGGATGACAAAGGAGTGACAGCTGAGTGATGGAGTGGTAGAGAAGTGATAGCTGAGTAATAGTGTGATAGAGGAGTGGTAACGGAGTGATGGGAGTGATAGAGGAGTGATGGAATGATAGAGGAATGATAGTGGAGTGATGGAGTGATAGAGGAATGATAGTGGAGCGATGGAATGATAGTGGAGTGATAGATTGATAGAGGAAAGATAGTGGAGTGATGAAGTGATAAAGGAATGGTAGTGGAGCGATGGAGTGATAGAGGAGTAATAGAGTGATAGAGGAATGATAGCTGAATGATGGAGTGATGGAATGATAGAGGAATGATAGTGGAGTGATGGAGTGAGAGAGGAATGATAGTGGAGAGGTGGAGTGATAGAGGAGTGATGGAGTGATAGGGGAATGATAGCTGAGTAATGGAGTGATGGAATGATGGAATGATAGAGGAATGATAGTGGAGTGATGGAGTTGTAGAGGAGAGATGAAGTGATGAAATGATAGTGAAGTAATAGAGGAGTGACAGGAGTGATGGAGTGATAGAGGAATGATAGTGGAGCGATGGAGTGATAGAGGAATGATAGTTGAATGAGGGAGTGATGGAATGTTAGAAGAAAGACAGCGGAGTGATGAAGTGATAAAGGAATGATAGTGGAGCGATGGAGTGATATAGAAGAGATGAGGTGATGGAATGATAGAGGGATAATAGTGAAGTAATAGAGGAGTGACAGTGGAGTGATGGAGTGATACAGCAGTGATAGCTGAGTGATGGAGTGATGGAATGATGAAATGATAGTGGAGTGATGGAGTTTTAGAGGAGAAATGAAGTGATGGAATGATAGAGGGATGATAGTGAAGTAATAGAGGAGTGATGGAGTGATAGAAGAGTGATAGAGGAGTAATGAAGGAATAGAGGAGTGATAGCTAAGTGATGGAGTGATAGAGGAGTGATAAAGGAATAGAGGAGTGATAGCTGAGTGATGGAGTGATAGAGGAATGATAGTGGAGCGATGGAGTGATAGAGGAGTGATAGAGTGATAGAGAGGAATAATAGCTGAATGATGGAGTGATGGAATGAAAGAGAAATGACAGTAGAGTGATGGAGTGATAATGGAGTGATGGAGTGACAGAAGAGTGATAGAAGAGTGATAGAAGAGTGATGAAGGAATAGAGGAGTGAGAGCTGAGTGATGGAGTGATGTGCAGACGCTGAGAATAAGAAAGCTTACAGAATTCTTCAGCAGCTTCTGTGATGCTTCTAATTAACAGAGTCATTAACAGAAGTAAATTGACCAATCGACTGTCCTGCATGACTGAGGACTGAACATCAGGACTGAGGTCAGTTAAATGATGCTGAGAGACTCACAGATCCTACAGTGTCTATAAACCAGATTACCGGGTTACCAGATCCTGAAAGCAGAAATGAAGGAAGTGTTTGTTAAAAGGATCTCAGTCTGAGGACCGATGTGATCACGACTCTGACCACATGCTGACGTTCCCTGTGGCTCCAGTTCACTCTACTATTAACTGCACTCTGGTGAGGAAATCAGGAAAACTGGATCCCCAACTAAAGCTGGGCACTGATAGACTATTATGTTCTGTGCATTTCGTTTCCAATTTTATGTTTTACATATACAGGAAGTGACACAGCCTGTTAAGTGAATCGATGCATGTTTTTTACCAAAAAGCAGTTCTTATTACACCAAACAAACACATAGTTTGGTTCCTCTGTCCCTCTTGGGCTGAACGCTGCTCCCAACTCTAATGAGCTGAAATCATTCATTTAAGAGCACTGGGAAGTTCACCATCTCTCAATGTGATCCTTCAGAATTTCTAATCAATCAGAAAATCAGATCTAGTGTTCCTCCAGACAAACTCACAACTCATCTGCAATCAGAGCTGCTGCTCTTGCAGCTGAAGCTCAAGCAGCCAAAGCTAAAGCTGCATTTTCCTGATTTACTCTGCAGTCTTGTAGAAAGTGGCAAAGTAGCCAACCTGACCTGACAGGAAGTGTGGCTCTTCTGAAACATTCCCAGTCTAAGAGACATGATCAGGTGAGAGCCAGTTAAACAGAAAGAACTGAATATATTCCTCAAGCGTATCAACAAGGCGGTCTTGCTCAGTCCTAAGACTAAAAACTGACTTATCTACAAGCAGATTTCCAAACCCACACAGCGGTGCCCTCTGGACACCAGGCAGAGAGTGTGTTCGGTATGTAGATGTATACACTGCCGTCATCTACTGCCGATGTTGTATATAATGAAATGCACTTATCGCTGGAGGAGTTTAGCTGCCTGTCAGATTAAGCAAGGCACTTTCTGCAAGTATGTATTTTACAGATTGCACGATTTGCAATGGCAAAAAGCAAAGTCATTCTGACCAAATGCTACAATGTCCGAAAAAACAACCAGCCTATCAGTCTGGTGTGGTAACAGGATTGCCTATGGAACCTGACCAGCGTCATCAGTGTATCCATGTTCCAGTCTTACTGAACCTAAAAGAACCCAGACACGGGTAAGTGATGAGATCACTTTACGACAATGTTTGTGAAAAACCACTATTCAAAAGTGAACAGCTCCTCTTTGGACCGGTCCACAGAGGTGCTCCAAAAACCTCAAGAGTGAACGATATGAAGACAGAAACTATTGGGGTTCATGAATGGTATTCTTGAACCTTCAGGATGGGAATATCCAACTCAGTAAGTGCCCAAAAGCTGAGAAAGACCAACTCATAGGTAGAATCCTCACAGGTGAACATGTTCTTCAATCAAATTCATAAAGAGGGACTGAAGAACAGAGCAGAGATTCTGTTTGATGACTACAGTGATGTTGCTACATTATCTCTCATTATTGGACACAGTTTGCCTTGAAGTGGTTGCCAGTATGTGAGGCTGAATTAAATGGCTGAAATAAACACTGTCATTGTGCATCATGTTTTAGAAGGTCTTGCTGGATGTTATGGCTCTTAAATACCTCTCTGTCAAAGCCAAGAAAGATTTGTCTTCTTAAATAGAAGTCTGCAGAGGGGCCCTACGCCAGCTGAGATACCAGTGAGGGTACCAGTGAAGAACAAAGTGTTCTGATCCAGCGCCAGGTGAGTCTCCCCACGGCCAGGGTGGGGAATTTTACGGCAGGATGGTGTTGCCACTGGACACCCTTCATCAAAGTGACTAAAAAGTGTATAAAGGTATAACAATTTTAGTAAACCATCAGATGATCAAAACTGATCAGATTAGCTGAACCGCAGAACTTAGATTACCACAAAATTCTCTGTAAATGCTTTGTTAGTGTTTTTATTGCAATAAAGACTTTTTAATGCATACAAACATTTTTTCCATTCAGTCTGGAAACTTTTTTTTTGTTTCTCTTACTCGGGTCCAATGTCGCTCGGCTGGTAATAACAGCCAGGCGTATCAGCCAATAATCACAAACTGTTCCTTTTCAATAGCAAAAATGTTGTTGATAACATGCAGTTGTGAGCTTCTGCTGTTAATCTGAGTAAGTGTCACATTTGAGAACTATCAGTAAAGCTGTTCAATTAAAATACAGGAGTATAAAATTAAAATATCAGATATCAAATAAAATTATATCAGCCAATATTATGAAGAACAACCAATATTTTCCAATATGAGGGATGACAATACAGACCACTACACTCGGGCCAGTCAGAACCAGTTTGTAATATTTTTAGTCATCTTTGTAAGTTACATCATATTATATTATTTATGCCGAACGCAAAAAACTGATAACGAAAAATTTGGTTCACAAACTCACGTGTCATGAGTTCTCCGCTTCCCTCTTAGTGCACTTGTGTGATTTTAACGTACTTGAATGCCTGAAGCTCCGCCCACAGTCTGAGCAGTAATAGGGTTTATCTCCAGTGTGAATGCGCTGGTGGACTTGTAGGTTACTCTGCTGTTTAAAACTCCTCCCACACTCTGCGCAGTGATACGGCCTCTCTCCGGTGTGACCACGCTGGTGTAGCTGGAGGTGACTCTGCTGATTGAAGCTCTTCCCGCACTCGGAGCACTGATACGGCTTCTCCCCGGTGTGGATGCGCTGGTGTAACTGCAGGTTACTCTGCTGATTAAACGTCTTCCCGCAGACCAAGCAGTGATACGGTTTCTCTCCGGTGTGAATGCGCTTGTGTAGCTGGAAGTGATTGTGCTGATTAAAACTCCTCCCACACTCCGAACAGCTGTACGGCTTCTCTCCTGTGTGGATCAGCTGGTGTAGTTGAAGGTTACTCTGTTGATTAAAACTCTTCCCACAAACTGGGCACTGATACGGTTTCTCTCCGGTGTGAATGTGCTGGTGTGTTTTCAAGTTGCGTTTGTCACTAAAGCTCTTCCCACATTCCGAGCACTGATACGGTTTCTCTCCGGTGTGAATGCGCTGGTGTCTCTGGAGATGACTCTGATCAGGAAAGCTCTTCCTGCACTCGGAGCACTGATGGTTTCTCTTCTTCTCGGTATGTTTCTGCGTTTCTGTGGGAGACGTGTCATTGTGGAGAGGACCAGACGACGTTTGCTGAGGCTCAGAGATACTTCTGGACGTCATGTTTTCAGAGTTAATCTCTCCTGATTTCAGCAGTGTGATGTGGAGGCATCTCCTGATGTGTCTGTGGAGGTAAATTTAGACCATGTAGGGAAGTGAACTCCTACAGCAGAGGACCTGCAAGAGAACGTCATTCGTTACGAAGAAAAAGAAAATATTTAAAACTCAGTTTGAAAAGCAACAACAGTGCAATGCAGTTTTGAGGGATTGTATCTAATAAAGATGACATTCAGTTACTTTCAGATCAAATAAAAAAAAGTATTGAACAAATGAAATTTAAATAAAAACAAAACAAAACACCGCCAACATTTATGTCACCACCTTTATCACTTGAATCACTGAGTACCTGACATTCAGACCCTGGCTGTGTGTTTGTTGCCCAACCCGACTTTCTGGAACTGGTTTTTCAGAAGAGGGTGCGGGATAAATCGTCTCATCCCCTCCATCAGAGTTTGATCAAATGGCAGAACTTTCAGCTTCAGACTAATAAATACAGTGACTGTACTTAGCTTTTGATAGTGTTTTTAAAACGTGGCTCTACTGGTGCATTTCATCTGTTCTAACTCTAAATCTCAGAAACACAAAATATCATTTAATAAATGCATGTAATAAATAAATACAATTGAAAATGCCCACCCAAAACCACTACATTCATTTCATTGCATTATTTATATTGTATCTATACTAACTTGATTCCAACCACGTACTCATTTATTTCAGCACCACATTAATGCTTATTTTTGCTCAGTTCACTTCCTCGCTTTAAACTAGTCTGTCTGACTCTTTTTGTTTTGTAGAACTTTACATCTGTAAATGTCCTCGTAATGCACTGCTGTAACAAAACTATTTTCCTCTGGGGTCAAAAAAGTAAAACTTTAATCCAATGAAACTACTTAAACTTGCAGATGAAATCTAGATCCAGCTCTCCGGAATTCAGCTGTCAGAATTCAAAAATTATCTTTACACAACTCTAGATCTAACTTCTGAGGGCTTTCTTAGCTGGAGACCCCCACCCCCACCCACACCACATTTCTATCAGATTAAGATCTGGGCTTTTTTCTGGAAATCAGACGCAGCGTGAAGCATGGTGGTGGTAGCGTCACTATAAAAGCTGAGAAAAAGGAAAAATAAAGAATACCACCACCACCACAGTGACTCACACTGACTCTGTCTGGAGAGAGAGATCAGCTTCCTGGAGAGTTTCTATTATCAGATCATCAAGTTCCTGAACTGCTCTCTCCTTCCTGAAAACAGCCTCATCACTGTACAAAACAGCTGCAGCTCTTACTGCCTATTAATCTCTGAATTAATCTCTTAATCTAACACATCTGCACTGTTGTATCAACATAATTAGTGCTGATTTGTAAAATCTGCTTCATGTGAAGATTCGTCTGCAGTAATACGACATCTCATATATTCAGTAGAAGTCAAAGAATAAAACCCTGATTCTGCCTGAAAAGATCTGATTAAAAATGACAGAAAAGAAACAGTGAAATATATTTTATATGAAAACTGTCATCAGAATCCACCACATGACATCTAAATGCTCCATATTTGACAAAAACCACCAGGAAAACATTATAAACACCACTATAGCTCAGGAGTGAACAGCCTTGCTGAAAGAGGACCACTAAAAACCTCATGGTTTTGATTTCTAATAGGAATTGGATTAATGGTTTCCAATAGACACCATTAGTTTCCTGTAGGACACCTTTAGATCCCATTAGGAAACCATCAAGTGCATTTAGAATCAGCCACTGTTCACCTGTTAAACCATCAGGATCCTTTACACCGTGATATCATCCCATTAAAACACTGCACAAAGCCATCAGGAACCAACAAACACACTTAATGGTTTCTATGGGTTTTTCAGGGACGAACAAACAGACAGTAAACGCTGAATGACATCATCATCTTCATCATCACTCAGACAGCGGTCATCTCTCATTTCTCTGATGGTCAGTCAGACAGAGTGGACAATGCTAGATATATGAGACTCACAGCAGATCAGCTCGCGCTTCCTGATCCTCTCCGACTCAGCACGAGCTTCTTCTCCGCTTCGTTCAGCGCGAGGAGCCGCAGTTGGAGAAGCAGCGCCCCCACCTGGCCAGCAATAGGACTCACACTAGAGCTCAGTGACCGCAAAACACACACACACACACACACACACACACACACACACACACACACACAGACACACACACACACACACGCACGTGTATATATATATATATATATATATATATATATATATATATATATATATATGTACTGAGAGAGAGAGAAAAAGACTATTCCATAAAATTATGAAATACATGATAAAATAAATGATTAAGTGAAAAAAAAAGCGTGAGTCAGCTTCTCAGCATCATGCAGTGAAAGATACGACTGGTCAGCGTTCCTAAGAGGAAAGAATGTTGTTTTATTTGCTTTTTCAATCCGGAGTTTAAACCTGAGGTCAGAGTCATGATGACGCTCTGAGGTCTCACACTTCAGATTTAATGTATGTTGCCAAACTTCCTAGTTTGATTTCCTTTTGATCTTTGTGTTCAGCAGATCCTCTTAGAAGGATTTCAGTTTTACCTTCATTCATTTTCAAGAAATTGCTGTTCATCCAATTAACTATACGCTAAACAATTAAGCAGCTGATCAGCAGCACTTATTTCATCAGGTGCAACAGAGATGTAGAGCTGTGTGTCAGCAGTGTAGTTGAGGAAGTTCACTGATTATATGGTCAAATGGCAGCATATATAATGAAAATAAAAGTGGCCTGTTGATAGACCCCTGTGGTACACCACAGCAAATGTAGCAAAGTCAAATAAAATCACTGTAAAATCACTTATGTACATTTCCTAAAAGCCCAATACAATTTTCCAATCTGTTTAAGAGTATACAGAGATCAACAGTGTCGGACGCAGCAATAACATCCAACAGGATCAATATTTTATCCTGTCAGTATTCCGTCTGAGGCCATTAACTACTTTCATCAAGGCAGTTTCTGTACTGTGGCCTGACCTGAAGCCTGACTGACATTTTTCATATGTGGTGGTCTCACCGTGGCAATTTCAAGTGAGACTGCGAAGCGACCTGCTTCTAAGAAAATGTTTACAAAGGGAATAAATAAGCTGTTTAAAGAAGAAATGGACTTTAGCTGATAAACAACAGGATGAAGCTCAGTTTCATTATTTAGACTAAAATCATTTAGAGAGTTCTGCTGTCAGCAGGCTTTTAGATCCAATACTTCTACTTCAGAGTTAAATACTAGATCTAATATTAATGAATTTATTTTTAAATAGTAGTGAAAATGATAACTCTTCCATTATTTGTGAGGAGTTTAAAAAAGTCTGCCTTTTGTAGAGAATAAAAATCTGGGGTCACTTCCAGCAACACTTACTGCCTTGTTTTGTAGTTCTGTACAGTTTTTCAGGATTTCGTAGTGTGTGGCTAATTCAGTCTTCCTCCAAATAAGCTCATTTCTACAGCAGCCCTGTTTGAGAGATCATAATCGCTCACTCTTCCAGAGTATGACTTTAGCTTGTGTTTTCATTTTAATTTGTGATGGTGCAGCTGCTTCTAGAGCCTCATTAGCCTACTGAAAAAGAAAACTAGACCATGTTCAGTTCAGGCTCACTACTGGACTGGATTCCCTTAAACATGTTCATAAAGTCAGCTGAAGTTCATCCTCAGTAGCTGCATGTATCAATTTAGGTTTCTTGACATTTTGTTTACACGCTAACCTGAAAACAAGCAGCAACGATCTGATACCATCATGTATATTAATGCTTAAGCCATGAGAAATGATCAAATCTGGAGTAGAGCCTGTTGGTTCAGTCACATGCTGAATAAAATCAAGAGAAGTTAAAAGTAGCATTAATCTTTGGTTTTGCAGTCTGTAGAGGTACCAACATGGAAATTTAGAATCATATCATATGTAGAGAGAGCAATTCTGAAAAGTCAGGAAGAGAAGAGTTCGGGTACTTTGATGGGTGAAAGACTAACACAGTTAAAATTGATGGCTTGATTCAGAAGAGCTGCTAAGTATTTAAATGAGGTAAGATGGATATTTGAAGCGTATTTTAAGTTCAGGTAACTTTATTCAAAAGTTTAAAATGTTATTCAACTGTTTCCTCCATGTGCTCATCCTCGTTTTAGGTATGTTAAGTGCTGGTTGACAAGCACAAGTAACATGATGCTTATCAGGATTATCAGGTCGCCTCCAGTTCCAGTGTTTTTATCAGCTGGTTCAGTGGCTGAGCTGACTGTCAGTGAATTTATCTGACAGACTGCAGAAACATTTCTGTTTAAATGATTTAGGCTTTTCATGCTTTTCACTCTCTTGTAACCTTTTTTTTCACAATTTCAAACATTCAAATGAGATTTTTGAGCTGAGTGCAGTTCAGTTTACAACCCCATTTTCCAAAAAAGTTGGGACGCTGTGCAGACAACAAATTGAATGTCGAAACTGACAAATTTCATTAATTTAGAAAAATATTTTGAATTGCCCATTTTGAATTTAATGCCAACAACATGTTCCAAAAAAGTTGGGACGGGGGCCTGTTTACCACTGGGTTTCATCACCTCTTCTTTAACAACGCTCTGTTAGTGTTTGAGAACTGAGGAGACACTGCTGTAGTTTAGAAAGTGAAATGTTTTCCTGTTCTTGTTTGATACAGGATTTCAGCTGATCCTCAGTTCAGGGGCTCATTTGTCATATTTTTCATTTCATAATGTGCCAGATGTTATCAGTGGTGACAGGTCTGGACTGCAGGCAGGTCAGTTTAGCGCAGAGACTCTTTTAATACAGAGTAATGTTGTTGTAATACATGCAGAATGTGGTTTGACATTGTCTTGATGAAATAATCAAGGCCTTCCCTGAAAAAGACGTCGTCTGGATGGCAGCATATGTTTCCAAAATATGTATATATCGTTCGGCATTAATGGTGCCTTCACAGATGTGCACGTCACCCATGCCATGTGCACTAATGCCCCCTATACCATCAGGAATACTGGCTTTTGAACTGTGCACTGATAACAAGCTGAGTGGTCTTTAGTCTGGAGGACACAGTGTCCATGATTTCCAAAAAGAATTTCAAATGTTGATTCGTCAGACCACAGGACACTTTTCCACTTCACCTCAGTCCATTTTAAAAGAGCTCAGGCCCAGAGAAGGTGGCAGCGTTTCTGGATCCTGTTTATATTTGATTTTTTCTTCGCGTTTTACAGAGATTTCTCCAGATTCTCTGAATCTTTTAATGATATTATGTACTGTAGATGATGAAAAGCAAAAATTCTTTGCTATTTCACGTTGAGAAACGTTATTCTTGAATTTTTACACTATTTGATGGTGCAGTCTTTCACAGAGTGGTGAACCCCTCCTCATCTTTACTTCTGAGAGACTCCGCCTCTCTGAGATGCTCTTTATACCCAATCATGTTACTGACCTGTTGCCATTTATCTTTGTTTATATTTGGTTTCTTCTTTGAGTTTGAGAGTGTTTAGCAGTGATTTCCAGTGCAGAATCATGTCTGTTTTTAATGCAGTGCTGCCTGAGGGCCCAAAGATCACGGCCAGGAAATACTGTTTTTTTTGCACTCTGGCCTAAACTGTCGCCGTTTGACAAGATGGTCCACAGTAATATTAAGTTAAATAAGAGGCAAAGCAAATTAATTTATAAGGGGCCTTTCATAACCTGCTGTCATTCAAAGTGCTTTACAAATGACAAAATACAAAATCATTTAAAAGGAGAACAGAAACATAAACGGAACAGAAATTAAAAACATGATTAAAACAATATATTTAAAAGCGAAAATAATGAAATCAAAGTAACATTTAATTAGTATAATTAAAGATCAGATTAAAGCTGAACTGAGTATAATAGAGCGGCGTTAGAGGAGAGAAGAGCAGCAGAGCTAACAGTGTTTAAACTGAGCTGAAAGCTGCTCTAACAGGATCGTTTTCAGGCTGATTTAAAGTGTCCAGTGTTGGCTCTTCTAATGCTCTCTGGGTCCATTTAAGAGCAGCACAGTATCTAAACGCTGCTTCTCCATGTTTAGTGTTCATCTTCGGCAGGACTGACTGACCAGTTCCTAATGTTCTGATAGTTCTGCTCGGCTCATATCGCTGCAGCAGATCAGATGCGCTGCTCTTGACTGCTGAAACACCAAGGTTACATGTTAGTTCTTTCAATTTTAGGGTTCCAAATTAAATAATTTCTGTTTTATCTTCATTCAACTGCAGAATGTTTTGTTCCATCCAGTTAGTGATGAGCTCAAGGCACTTACAGAGTGAGTCAAGGGGACCATAGTTATTTGGGGAGAGGGTTGAGTAGATCTGAGTATCGTCTGCATAGCTGTGGTAAGATTTCCCACAGTCTTGTAGTAAGTCTTGGCCATAGTCTTGGCCAAGGGACAGCATGTATAAATTGAATAAGAGTGGCCCAAGAATTGAACCCTGGGGGACACCACAAGTCACTGGCAATCACTCAGAAATATTATTTTCAATTTCCACAAAGCAGTCCCTTCCTTGCAAGCATGAACTGAACCATTTTAGGTCAGCTCCCGAGAGCCCGACCCAGTTCTCAAGTCTGTCTATGAGAATTTTATGGTCAATAGTATCAAAGGCAGCACTGAGATTGAGTAGTAATAGAACAGATGTTTTTTCAGAGACTGTGTGTAAGAGAATGCCATTAATAACTTTCATTGTTTGAAAGTGACTTTACTTAAAAAAGGAAGATTAGAAATTGGTCTAAAATTATTTAGTACAAAAGGATCCATGCTACTCTTTTTTAGCAGAGGCTTCACCAGGACAGTTTTAAAAGTGTCTGGAAAAAAAAAAACAAAAAAGAGTAACAAAAAAGAAGTAGGAAAAGGGTCAAGATCACATGGATGAACTTTATAATATTTGTAAGCTCTTGATGACTGATGACAGATGAAGATGTCATTAGAGATGTAAAAGGCTGATCAGGAAGGTTATAGGAGCTTGTTTCAGTCGGCTGAACTTCGCACTGCCTTATCAAGTCTACTGCATTTTGAAAATGAACTGCAGACTCTTCACAGAGTTCAGAAGATAAATG